GATGATAGGATGGCCAAGTACCAAGAATTGGTCAGAACAGAAATCAAGAAATTCGAAGTAGTTAGGATAGAACAGATAGGCAGGGAGGAGAACAGCAGAGCAGACGAACTAGCAGGCTTCGCCTCAATAGCGGACACCTCCATCCCTCATCCACTACTGATCGACTACTTACCTAGACCAAGCATTAAGGACCCCAAAGCAGAAGAAGTATGTTGCACAGAACTAGGCCCCTCATGGATGGATCCCATCATAGCATTCTTAAAAGATGGCGTCCTACCGGAAGAAAAGAAAGAGGCCAACAAAATAAGAGCAAAGTCGCAGCGATTTTGGCTCTCCCCATCTTTGGCATTATACAAAAAGTCATTCTCAGGACCCTATCTAAAGTGTGTCCACCCCAGCAAAGTGGAAGCATTCTTGTACGAGATACACGAAGGGGTGTGCGGAAGCCATCAAGGAGGAAAATCGCTAGCTTACAGGGCCATTTCACAAGGATACTGGTGGCCATAGATGCAGGCAGACTCAGAGAAATATGTGAAGAAGTGTGAGAAATGCCAAAAATTCGCACATCAAATACACCAACCAGCTAGAGAACTCCTACCATTAACTAGCCCATGGCCTTTCGCAATGTGGGGCTTGGACATAGTAGGACCACTTCCAATAGCACCCGGCAACAAGAAGTTCTTTCTCGCAGCAACAGACTACTTCACAAAGTGGGTGGAAGCAGAAGCATTAGCATCAATCAAGGAAAGAGATATGAAAAAGTTTGTCTGGCAAAATATCATCACTCGGTTTGGAATACCAAAAGCCCTAATCTCAGGCAATCGCACTCAGTTCGACGGCAGAATCTTCAGATCCTTTTGTGAAGAGTACAAGATAGAGTTCTACAATTCTACACCAGCGTATCCTCAAGCAAATGGCCAAGCAGAAGCATCAAATAAAGTTGTCTTGGATGGACTGAAGAAAAGGTTAGAAAAGGCAAAAGGCAAATGGGCGGAAGAACTTCCTCGTGTTTTATACTGCACCACACCTCGACGCTCAACAGGAGAAACACCATTCTCCTTAGCCTACGGAATGGAAGCAGTAATCCCACTGGAAGTTGGCCTCCCCACAATTCGAAGCGAAAATTTTGATCCCGACTTAAATGAAGAAGCCATAACATTAGAGCTCGACCTAGCGGAAGAAAGAAGAGAAAGAGCACTGGTCCACATTGCCTCATACCAACAAGAGTTATCCAGGAAATACAACAAAACGGTACATCCAAGACAATTTAAGATCGGAGATTGGGTACTGCGCAAAGTGATGGGAAACACCTTAATACCAGGAGATGGCAAGCTAGGGCCTAATTGGGAAGGTCCTTACAAAGTGGTTGGGTTAGCAGGCAAAGGGGCATACCACCTGGAAGACAAGGACGGCAAAGCAATCCCTAGACCATGGAACAACGCCAATCTCAAGTTATTTTATTTTTATCTTTCTTCTTTTCAAACATGTGTAATTTCTTTTTCCTCAATAAAACAATCGATCCTTTTTAGCATGAGTTGTTCTCTGTAAAAGTTAGCTTTAGTAAAGTTTAGGTACATTGCAAACATTATTCTAAGTTGGCTGGAAAAACTAACTTAGAGGTTGGCTAGATTAAACCAACTCTTTGTACTCTTCAGCCGAAGTAAGGGTATGACAGAAGAGTGGTTGGCTGGATTAAACCAACTCTTTATACTCTTCAGCCGAAGTAAGGGTATGGCTGAATAGTGGTTAGCTGGATTAAACCAACCCTTTGTACTCTTCAGCCGAAGTAAGGGTATGGCTGAAGAGTGGTTGGCTAGATTAAACCAACTATTTGTACTCTTCAGCCGAAGTAAGGGTATGGCTGAAGAGTGGTTGGCTGGATTAAACCAACTCTTTGTACTCTTCAGCCGAAGTAAGGGTATAGCTGAAGAGTGGTGGGCTGGATTAAACCAACTCTTTGCACTCTTCAGCCGAAGTAAGGGTATGGCTGAAGAGTGGTTGGCTAGTAAGCGTAGTTAGTTTGACCAGCTAAAACCGAGATAAAAGTTGGAAGTGAAAAGATCATGGAAAAATCATTACAAGTACAAACATACAGTTCAACCGAAATAAGTTCAAGAAAATTTTCATTCATCAAAAAGCAAATACAAAGGAGGGGCCATAGCCCGGTTACAAGAAGCAAAAAGTAACAAAAAAGAAAAGTACAAAATCAACTGAAAAGGTCTTCAATTTCGGCGTCAATATCATCTTGAACACCGGTTGCAGATGGAAGATCAGTCTCAGTAGCAACTAGCAGAACGATATCAGTCGATGGCTCAACAGTCAGGTCTTCAACTGTTGCCTCCAACCGAGCCGATTGATCGTTGACTTGCTCGTTGACTACCGGAGTAACAGTCTGTTCGTTTTCATCGTCTTCATCATCTGAATCCTGCAAAAATTGTTCTTGGACCGAAGCAGCGTATTCCGCTAGTGAGGCTGGAATGAAGTACTGTGGAGCATTGTAGACCTCGGTTTCAGGCCCACAGCCGAGCTGTTTCACAGCACTCCTCCAGCCACACTTAAAGAACAAGTCCTTCGCCCCCTCGCACTGCGGAATGTATACCGACCTTCTTCTTCAGATCGGTTATTTCGGCGTCTTTTTTGCCTTCGAGTTTGGCCAACTCGCGCAAGTATTTATCTTTCACCGTTACTGCAATTTTTTATTTTTCAGCTTCAGCCGAGCTAACTAGTCCGGTCAAGCGACCGTTCTCGAACTGTAGCTCGGCTATCTGCTTCTTGGCCTGCTCAAGCTCGGCTGTCTTTGCCTCGGCATCTGCCATGGCATGCCTGGTTGTCTTGCGGAGTTCCAGCATTTTCTTATGTACAATGTTGTTCTTCTGAATGGCCTGCAAGAGTAGTGACTCTCTTTAGCCAGACTGACAGTTGGGAAAAGTTGGACAAAGAAAAGGGAAAGCCACTTATCAGGATCATTGATTTTGTTGAAGACCGGATGGCCTTCAGCTCGGTGTTTAGTTGCTTGTTGTGGTGCTCCATATCTTTCGGAAGGCAAACACTCTTGGCTAGATTGAAAGCTATCAAGTGATCCTTCTCAGCAACGACCGAGTCAGTCTCCTGGATATTTCGGTCTTGAAAGGTGAGAATTGGAGCCCATTTGGAGGAGTCAGCTCGGTCAGATTGCTCCGGTTGAAGGATGGGTTGAGGACTTGGTGGAGGGATGGATTCGTTCTCATCCACAAGTTGTTGTTCGGTCGGGGTAAATCGGGCGCGCTTAGAGGGGCTTGATGAAGAAGGCTGTTGAAAAGGGAAGGCCACAACGGCAGGCTGCGTTCGACTTAGTGGCTGTACTTCGGGTCTGTTAGTTTCGATTAGAAGCGCCCTTACTCTGTTCCTTTTAGCCATTTCCTCTTCAGCAGTTAGTGGGATTAGTCTGATTTCTGGCAAGGTTGGGTTCGGTTCTAGGGCCTCCTCTAGCAGAAAGTCGGTCACTCTCGCTTTTCGGCGGCCGCTGTATCTGTAGGTCGGCTCGAACTTTAATAGCTTAGCCCAACTACGTTCTGGATACCGCAGTGCGGCGCGCAAAGTCGCTAGAATTGGGTAGCTGTATAAAGAATGGAGGTGGGCAGAATCTGCGAAAAAAGACTACTGTTAGTTCGGTTGAAAGATTAAAAAACCGAAATATAAAAAAGCACGCAAGAAAACCGAAGTAATTATACCGGGTTCTCTTTTTTTCCAATTAATCTTTCGGCCAGGAATCTGGGCTTGGTGATCCTCAAAGTTCCCAAACATCCAGAAAAAATCGTCGTCGTTTAAGTCTTTATCCGGTGTATTCTTTATTATTTTCTCACGACGACGGTGTATTCTAAGATAATACACCCAGCCGTCTTCCTTCGAACCAATGGAGTATTGGTGAAAAATTTCGGCCAGACCGAGGTTCAGACCGGCTTGGCGCTTCAGTTCGGCTATACCCATTATTATATGGTAGGAATTGGTGGACAGTTGGGTTGGACATAGTCTGGTTTGCCTAAGAAACTCACAAATCAAGGGTTGGACTGGAAATCGTAGTCCGGTTTCAATTATGGACAAAAGGGTGAAGGGGACAAAGCCTTCATTGCCCCAAGGTATGACATCTTTTTCGGCTAAAATCAGGTGGACGTCATCGGGTATATTGTAGTCTTTTCTAAATTCAGCTAGGCCGCCCGGAGTGTCTACTAGATACCTATACTTCCCCATTTATTGTATAAATTATGAATAAATTAGTTCGGTCCAAAAATTGTTCTCAGTAGCTCGGTTGAGCGCGCAGAGGAGTGCCTGGGCAACCTAAGTCTGCAAAGTAGAAAACAAAGGGGGTTAAGCACAGATCATTGGACCGTGCTGCAAGATAAAAGTACAAAACATAGGAGCCCTACTTCGGCTATGAGGATGCTACAGGTTCTAACTCGGTTTCAGCAAGGCGATTGGTAGCTCGGTTTGAGCAGGGCTTTGTTAGTTCGGGCTTGGCAAGCGTCTAGATATCTCAGTTGTGGAAACGGTTCTGTTTGACCGGTTGATCGTCTAGGGGCAGCTTTCTGAGTTCCATCTAAAAAACTAAGAAAGCTGGTTTAGCCCCCAAAGGCCTAGATCGGTTGGAGTTCAGGTATCTCATTATGCTAAGAGCAAACCTAGTTCGATGGGTTACCTCAGCTAAGGTCTATCAAGAAGTGGTTTGACTTATTCAAAGCTACTGGTGTAAACATGAAGTATTAGTCCGGTTATAAGCTGACTCGACTTTTACCTAGCTTAAACAGTATCCTAGTTCGATTGCATCATGATTTTGGATCAAAAACCTGTTTTCTACAGGATATTACATATACTCATGCGTTCTACTGTTAAGTTTTTTCCATAGAAGTACAAAGCAAAGCAAAACGGGAAAACGTGTTTGCAAAAAACACAGGAAACAAAACACATAGAACAAATACGAAAACAAACAGAGTATGGCAAAAACAAACAAATACGAAAACAATAAGATGTACAATACTAACCAGATGAGGAAGCAGGAGCTGAAGATGGCAGCAAAAAGCAGCAGTTCTCGAGCTCTTTCAGAAAAACGAAGAATAGTGAAGAACACGAGCTCAGAAGATTGAAGAAGTAGTAGAGGCACAGAGAGGGAGAAGTTACAAAGTATGGAAAAAATGAAGAGGCCCGTTTTAGGTAAAGGAAAAAGGGCGGGACTGTTCAAATTTCACGAAGTACGAAGACGGCGTAACAGCCGTCCTCAGTCAATCAGAGCGTGCCACGTGTCCTGGGAAGGGGAAACGATTCAGTCGCTGTGATTGAAGAGACGTTTTGACCGGACAAGCAGAGCCCGGTGTAGAATTAGCTCGGCTGAAAGGCTTAAGAGTTTTAGCTCGCCTGGAAAGGCTAAAGGTTTTTTTAGCTTGGCTGAAAAGGCTTAAAAACTTCAGCCTGGCTGACAGACAGGTAATCCCAATTATGCTGTGCAGATGGAATTAAGGGGCAATTGAGAGGGTAATTTTGGTGAAAATTGGGCCGAGCTATAAGATGGTCATCATGGCCCAAAGTACGAAGGGCTGGGTAAAGAGGCCGTAAAATTACTCAGGCCCAAGAGAGGTAAAAATATTACTCCGGCCCGAGAAAAATATAAAGTTACTCCGGTCCGAAAGCGACTTGGAGTTAGACCGGTCTCAGAGTTAGTCCGGTCATGGCGTAATGTGGTTAGAACGATCAGAACCTTGCTACTCGGTAGCTCGGTCTAAACACACCATGGTTTGTACATGAGAGCACCGAGATAAGGAGGAGTAAAAGGAAGAACCGAACTAAGGATAGTTCGGCCTACTCTACGGCTCAGCATAGCTATGATTACTTCGGTCATGTTGGAGTTCGGCCATGGTAATAACCATCTCACTTGGTTTAAGCAGTGAGGGGGGTGTTGGAGGATAAGGATTATCCTTCAGGAGGTTAAATCCTAGGAGGACTCTGCATGGAGGAATAGAAGTCCTACTAGGATTGTGCCAAACGAAACCTATAAAAGCTCACAAACATCACCTTTGGAGAGGTAACATACAACTTTACTTTTTGAATACACGGAGCTTTTGTCTATTTGTCAAAGCGACGACGTACGGAGGAGAGTAGACTTGGTCAACAGGATTATACGAGAAAGTTTATTTCTTTCCCGTACACTTATTATTAAATTCACATTAGGATATAATATGAATTTAAAATTTGAATTAGGTGTACTGAGATAATTTTTAGGTTAAAATAGAATAGCCCAAGAGAGATTGGACAGCGTTGTCCGAGCTTGTTCGATCTATTATAGATTTCGATTCCATGATTTAAATATTTTATTTTATAAAATTTTTACATATATTATTTATAAAAAAATTAAATTGATTCAATAATTATAACATATTTAATTTATCATATTTATATTTTAAAAAATAATGCTAAATTTATTTTTAAAAATAAATTATTTATTTTTTTAGTGATAAACAAGATAAATGGAATAGGTTAAGTTTATCTAATTGACATAATTTTTGTGTGGATAGAACACCAGAAGTATCTAACAAACTAAACGGTTTGAATTAACGAAATGAAACTCGTGAATAGCACCCTTCAATCTAGATTATATATATATTTTATACTTTTTTTCAACACTAACGGCAATTCTTAAAACTGTTTTTAACATTTTCCAATTATAAAAATAGATTATTAAATAAACCAAACAAACTAAACCAAATCTTAAATCTCATCAAATGAGGTCAGTTATATGAATTATTCTTCTCTACTCGACTCTATCAACGGCCATTTGGTTAGTCAAATTAAGAAAATTCATATCTCTATTTACACTCACCCACGTTAATTCTGCTTCTTCCCCTAACACTTCCATCTACCGTCACTGTATCACATCTCTTTACTACTGTCTTTATTGGCCTCCGTTGTATATAACCAAACTATCTCAATCTATTCTTTTTCAACTTATCTTCTATCGGTGCTACTCCTACTCATTCACGAATATACTCATTCTTAATTCTATCTTTTCTAATATTTCCACATACCCATCGTAGCATCCTCATCTCGGCAATACTCATCTTATGTACATGTTGTTTCTTGGTTGCCCAACACTGCATCTAATACAACATCCCTGATCTGATAGTCGTTTTATAGAATTTTCCTTTTAGTCTAGTGGGTACTCATTTATCACATAGTACCCCAGACGCATTTTTCCACTTAAGCTACTCTGCCTTAATTCTATAGATCACATCTGCTCCAATCTCCCCTACCGTTGTGATAATCGATCCTAAATAATGAAAATGTTCACACTTAGATAGTTCTTAGTTCTCAATCTTCACTTCTCCTCTGCTTCCATCATTACTGTTACTAAAATTACACTCCATGTACTTTATCTTTATTTTACTTATTCTAAATCCTTTAAATTCAAATGTTTCTCTCCACGTCTCTAGCTTAGTGTTAACTTATTCTCTAGTATCATCCACTAACATAATATCATCTGTAAAAAGTATATATCATGGCATATCATCTTGAATATTTCTCGTCAACTCATCCATAACTAAAGTAAAAAGACGAGGACTTAAAGTTGATTCTTAGTGTAATCTCACAGTAATTGGAAATTTATTTGTTTCTCCAGCAAATGATCTAATAGTGGTCACTACACCTTTATACATGTCCTTAATCACATCAATGTACCATTTTGTTACATCTTTCTTCTCTAACACCTACCAAATTATATCCTGAGGTACTCTATCATATGTTTTCTCAAGATCGATAAAAACCATATGAATGTTTCCTTTTTTTTCTATACTTTTTTATTACCTTCCTTAAAAGACAAATCGCTTCCATTGTTGACCTACCCGAGTTGGAGTCAAGTTGAAATGAGAGGCCTAATATTAGGGCTAGCCATTGGCCCACTAGCTCGCGCAGTTCAACCCGATATTTTGAAGATTTGAAAAAATTATTTTGTCCACAAGATCAAATTGGGCTGACATTTATTTATTTATTTATTTTTGATAAATCAAATTGGGTTGACATTTTATACCCATTTAATATTTGGATTGGGCTTAAGACAAAGATTTATAGCCCATCCCAATCCGACCTGCCAACTTATAAAATATTAATCATAAATTTATATTATTTTAATTTTAATTATAAAATAAAATAAAATAAAATAAAAAGTATAAGAGACATATATATATATATATTTCTAGGGTTTAAATTAAAATATTTGTTAAAAGTCATATTTATTTTACCATTGAATTTTGTTAACGTTTCAAATTCAAATAATAAATAAATAATTTAATATTCATTTAAGATAAAAAAATAATAATAATAATTTATATTTATTGGATTGAGTGAGCGGAATTGAGATTTAAATTTTTGTTAGAACCATGCTTAAGATGGCTAGATTAGTTCCAACCGGGTCAAACCGAGCTAAGGATAGCATATATTCTTTTACTATATAACGCAAATCCAACTCGAGATTTGCCCACCCTAAACTATTATAAGGTCAAAAGAAAAATGATAGTTCAAAGTATTCGAAGATGCCAACAGTGTTGGGTTGGCTTTGCTTGGTTGGGCCAGGTCGGGCCAAAATAGCTGGCCCTAGATTCATGCACAAGATAGAGAGTATGTATGCACCCAAACGGCTAATTTAGCTAGGAGTGGGCAACGGTTTATCCGAACCGCTCAAATCGCCCAACCCGCCCAACCCGCATATAAATGGGCAGTTTCGCAAACATAATGCGGGCGGATGCGGTTTGAAATATGACAAATTTGCGGATTGCGGGCGGGTCGCGAGTTAAAACCGCAACCCGCAAAAACCGCCCGCACTTTAATTAGTATTATTATTATTATTTTTTATATACCAACTTTGTAACTTTAACAGGAGTACCATTATGTTCTTTATGAAACTAGGATCCTTATTTTTAAATATTTCTCAACTTTCTTAATGTCGTAGAATTATCAAGTCCTAAACTTAGTTTCTTATATGATTTTCATTGATGACTCATCTACTTTTTCCTAATAAAATTTTTCTTCTGGTGATCGATGAAACTTCTAGTTTGATTATTGATTACTGAATTGACAATTCTAATTGAGTACAACCTTTAATACATTGATATACATTTTTTTCATGACAAAAATGCTAGTGATATTAAATTTTTATTTGTAAACTCATCAGAAAATTGTTATCAAATGATCACAAATATATAAAATGAATCTAATGCTTAAATTCGATGGAAAAAAAAACTTAAAAATTAATTTTTAAAGAAAAAAGTGTAAACCGCAAACCGCCCGCAACCGCCCGCACATCTACAAACCCTATCCGCACAAACAGCAAACCGCACTGCGGGCGGTTGCGGGTTGACTTTTTCCTAAACCGCATAGATGCGGGCGGGTCAAAACCAAACCGTAAACCGCACAAAACCGATCCGCGGACACCCCTACGGCTAATATAGCACCACCACCCAAACAAACATGTAGAAAACAAAAAGCAGATGGCAAAAAAGACAAAAAGAAAAAGTGCAAACAAAACCGTTGAAAGAAAGGCAGTGCCGTTTGGAAAACGTATCCGATTCGAAATTGAGCCCCCTACATGAAGTCCCAAGTGTATCAAAGTGGCCCCAATCAAGCATTGACCTGATGATATCGATACCTTCCCACAATCTCTTATTCAGGTCAGCAAAGGCAAACAGCAGTGGTGTACCCCACCATTTAAATATATTTGACTGTTCACATCTTTCAAAACATGTTTTTGATGTCTTCATTTGCTTTTGGCTTCAAAGATATCTGACCCAAAAGCCAAAATCTGTTCTTCCAATTTCTTGTTTCTCCAACTCCTCAAGTATCTTCAAGAACAAAAACAAGTGGGTTGGGGTTTTCTTGATTTGGGCTTTTTTTCTTTTTTCTTTTGGTTATTGGGTATGCTTTTATTTATTGATGCTTTGTGAAATTGATTTTCTGGGTGTTTGTTGAATTTTGAAGTGTATCCAAAGGTGAAGGTGAGGGAACAAGAAGAAGATGATGATCTACTAACTGTCTATGATCACGACAAGGCAACACATCTCTCAGGTTTTTTTTTTCTCTTATCGATTTGAACTACAACATGAAAGTCCACTTTTATTCCATTTTTGTTGAGTTTGATTTGTATATTTAGCCGATAGAGCTTGAAAATTCAGTTACTTTGCTAGGATGATTGATTGAAATTTCTGGGTATTGGGTTTTTATTTTTTTTATTTATTGATTTGCTGTTCTCAGAAACTTGGTTTTGTTCTTTGTTTGTTTGTTCCGATGAAGTGGTTATTGTTGGAGATGTTAATAATACAGTTGAGTATTTGGATTCTGATGATTTCTCTGTTTTCTGGCCAAAATTGATTTCATTCTGTACTTCATCCTTATTGTTTTGGTGATAGCCTCAGCTCAGCATAAGGTTTTTTGGGGGAAAATACTGGTTGGCTGCACTAATCATATTTTTGTTCTGCTCTATTTAGATGAAAATATCATCATCATTTATCTGCTTTTTTATATTTTTTAGCAAGTAATAATTTCTTATCACTTCCACACTCTTGAGAGCAGGAATCGGCACAGCAGTAAGGTTTCTCTATTGCGACCTGAGCATCACAAGTAGCCTCCCCATATTTTGCAGTGGTGGGAGCCTTGTGCATCGGAACTGTCCTTTTTTTCATCTTTTTACATACTTACCTTTACTAATATAGCTTGGTTCTTCTAAATTAGAATGACATTTTGCTAAACACATCCTAACCTCATTGCAGTTTTCAACCTTTTTTACCCAAGGATAGTTGAAAAGCCCAGCCCACACTTCTCTTTAAAACCAGGAAAACTAGATCTTTATAACTAGTACAGATGGGGCAATTCTAGGCGATGTGGGACACATTCCAACACACCCTCCTAGACCACAACATACAGTAGCCAGAAAAACGGCACACCAATCACTGGCCCAACCAAGCTCTGATACCAAATTGAAAAGCTCAGCCCACACTTCTCCTTAAAACTCAGGTATCAAAGAGAGGGAAACTAGAGCCTTATAATTAGCACAGATGGGCCAACTTCAAGCGATGTGGGACACATTCCAACAAGGATATCTTCACTTTTGTAAATGTAAGCTTCTACCCTTGAATTAGTGTTCAGGTAGGATTTATTTTATTTATTTATTTTTTTTCCATCCTGAAATAAGAAACAACGGTGAATTGTCATAAATTTCATTGTGAATGTGAAAATGAAAGAAAGTTGGTCATTTGTCTTCTTGGCTAGTGAAGTATGGGCTAGTTCCGACTTCTTTGAGCTTCAATTACGAAAAAACAATTGACTTGATAGATAAAGCCTAGATGTGTAACCACTGCAATCATGATTGCATATGCGCTATAATATAATTTTGAGTTTCTATTGCCCACTAGGGATCTAAAATGTGGTTTGCTTTGTGATCTTTAGATTAGTATATCACACATAACTTGCTTACACATCTTTTGTTGAAGTAAAAATTCCTCAGGGAAGGAGTTACTACCTTTTACATTGGTTGAATTGCATTTAAAAAGGTTTCAAGAGAAGTTGTTGTTAGAAATAAGTTCCTCATAACATTCTCTCTTTGTGGAAAATTTGGCCGATTCGGGCTTATGCTCGGGTCAGCTTTGGTAGACATGTTTGGATTGCGAATTGGGCTTGGGCAACTTCAGCATGTTTGGGCAACCCCTCAACCCACCCGAAGCCACCCAAGTTGCACCCCTAAAGCCTACCATATTCCTAGAGGGCCTATGATCTGGCTACATCACCATAGTCAGCCTACACCAATTAATAAATTATGGGAACCAAGGAAAACCATTCTTCTTTGAAGTCTTATGAAAACGTTGGAAAACTTTGTCCTTGGATTTTGTTTTGTTATCTTTATTGCTAGAACATTTTTGATAGGGACTCTTATGTCAATGACAGTGAGTGCACTATATTGAAGCTGTCATAATTCAAGGGTGAATCTTTGTCAGAAAAAAAAAATATTAAAAAAAAAAAAACGGATGAATAAGAGACAATAATGTGGAAGAGGAAGAAACACAACAAAGCAACTACTACAGAATTACACACATGGGAAAATCGTGCAAGAAGGTAAAGACCTAGAGGCAATGCAAAAATTTAGTGATCAAGATAATAAAGTGTGCAAAAGGGTTTTCTTTACTCAAGCTTAGGTTCTAACATGATAAATTGAACTAGGACAAGATTACCTACAAAAGAGTACTTTCCTCAAACTAGTTTCGAGCTCCCTAGCATGGTGAATATATGCCAAAGAGCTGATGGAGACAGACACCTGAACTTGAATACCAATCTAGTAACTCAGATTTCTTAGAGGGTTGAGAAAATGAAGAGAAGAATGACAAAGAGTATCCTTCTTTTGCTGACATCTGAACAAACCTTTGTTCAACAGAAAATTCTGTTTTTACCTTTTCCCCTTTTTGGTTCCTCAGAATCCTCCCCTTTCTTTATAGGTAGGTAGAAAAACCACTTGTTATATTGCACCACTCACTTAGCACCCTTATATGATCACTCTTGTCTTCTTTTTTTCCATTACATGCTCTAAAATAAGGCGTAAGCTTAATAAATGTGATGAGATTTTGTGACAAGTACACATGGTGTCAGAACTGATTGCAAGAAAGCAAGCCATAATTTCTATATACAAGTAGATAATTGTTTGTTTTGCATCTGTAGGAAGAGAAGTTCATTCCTTGTGTGGTGTCATGAGCATATTGAAGAACATCAACAAAAAAGAGAGGATGGAATGGGTTCTCTAAAAATGTGTTGTGTGGTGAGAGATGGTCAGGGAGTGAGGTTGTGGAGTGATCAATCACATGGGAATAGCCCATTGGTGAGGAATTTTGGAGCCTGTTTATGATCGTATCTTATTAGGAGCCCCTCGTTGAAGATGACTTGAGGCTGTGAGAGAGAGAGGTAGTTTGAGACCCCAAATTTATTTGTGCTTTTCAGGATAGGGAGGTAGAGATAGTGGCTACCTATTTTGGCCTCATCTATTAATATTCCAGGGGTAGGAGGGACAGAGTATTCATCTCAGTGGAGGGTTGACAAGAGTGGAAATTTTGAGGTTTCTTATTGTAGGGCATCGAATTTCCCTTGAAGGGCAGTGTGGCATACCAAACCCTCCTTGGGATTGGGAGTGACATTTTGTTGATACACTTTTTCTCAACATTTATTACCCTTTTAAACAATCTAATCCAAGGCTTAGTGGAGGTTAAATTTACCTTTATTTTGTCAATTCCAGCTTGAAGCAGTTAAAGTTACTACGGTTTATTCATGCTGACACCAATGCTTTCAGTTAATAATCTTTAATTCACACACACACACACACACACACACACACATATTTAAAATTTAAAAAAAAAAAAAAAAGTCAACTTTTTCCAATACCATATAAATAAAGTAGTATTGAGTATTGATGGTCTTTTCTCCATTTTTTTTAATGCTGGATATAGTATAGTACTACTTGCATGTCTGTTAGTGCTTTAATTGGTATAGTAGGACCCTTGTAGTCTTTTTAATGAATTCCTTGTTATTTACAGTTTGGGAATGTGAAGATGATTCACCACCATCCATTGTGAGAATTCCGAAGTCTTATATCGCCAATTCAGCCATTCCTATGATTCCTTTACCCAAAGGTTTAATTTTTAATCCATATTATTCTTGGTACAAATTTCTGAGTCTTGGGGTTTTCTGAACTCTCCTTATAATTTACAGGAGAAGGCAAGAGCAGCAACAAAAAGAAAGCCATGGAGGACAGTAGACCAAATATTAGATCGAGTCCAATCCCACGGCCACGTGCTGTCTTATCAAGCCCTGGTACTTCCATTTGCCAATTTTTTTTTTACTACTCGAATCTTTGTTTCATACAAGTTTTTATTTTTGGCAAATAAGGATATAACCCATTTAAATTTTGATGCAACTATGTAGCTAAGAAATTATTTGATAATTGCTCTCTATACATTGCAATATGCGACACAAATATCATTAGTGCATACATTGCAAGATGTTACACAAATATCATCCAGTAGAATCTGTATTTCTTTCTCAATATTTTCTTTGTCCATTGAAATAAGCAAGCAATACAAGTTGCAATTGCTTTTTTAGCAGCTTTTTTTTTTGGGGTCCTCAGTGAAGTTTTTTTTTTTTTTTTATAAAAAAAAGCTTTACATTTTAAAGTTCTACTAGACTAGATAGGCCTGAAATTTTTTTAAAATAAATAAATAAATTGAAAAAAATTCAATTAAGACCCCCAAAAAAAAGCTTAAAAAATCTACTTTTTTGAAACACGCCTGATCCTGAAGTTGTTGTTGTTTTTGTAGATTTTTTTTTGGATTTTTTTTTTTTTAAATTTACTTTTTAGATCCTTCTAGACTAGACAGACTTGAAAAGTAAATTTTTTTGACAAATCTAAAAAGCATTCACTAAAAACAAAAAGTTTCGGGGAAAAAAAATGTCTTTGTTAACTATTGCCAAACAGATGAATTTTACCGGTATCACTTTCAGTCTTTGAGGAGGAATCTTATCGTGAGCTCTACTTAATTGAGTTGTATATACAACTTTCGTGGTTGACAGCCTACTAAAAATTTCAGTATTACTTACTTTCAGCAAGTTGACTTTCACTGTCCTACGGGTGCAATGTATTGGATTTAGAAAATGCAATCTGTAGTCCAGGTTTCCAACTCACGACATATGGTTATTTTGTGTTCAGTTAACGATGGGGTGATTGGAGGCAGAAACAAGGCCAAAATAGAAGTACTTTCAGGTTTGAAGGATCATAATTTGCGTCAAACCAGACACACCCAATGCAAGGTTATACCAAGACGAAGCACTGTTGAAACACCAATAACCACAAAAAGAGAGTCCAAGGAGGCTGCTGATGGTAAAACTGATCTCGAACAGAAAAAAGGATCAGCCAAAGCCAATCCAAGACAAAGAGCAGACCTCAGAAAAGGGAAATTCGACTCTGTTTGAATCTAAGCGCTCAATAGTTTGACTTTAGATTAGTGCTCAACCTTTTTGAGTAAACTCTCACATACCCATGAAGTTTATTTTTCAAAATGTTTCTCGGATTGTTATTCTACATCACACCATTCACGACTTTCGTGAACTTCAAGGAAATGTAGCTTGTTATAAAGGCCTTCCTCCTATGAGGAACTATCGAATAGGTTTTAAGTAAATTTGACTGTTTTGACTCCAGTGACATGTTTAAACAACATGGTTGTAAGGGATAAATGTTTGAGCACTTTATAATATCAGATAAATGAAAATTGAATTTCATGATAAATATGTGTGGCTCCTTTGTATGGAATTCTCCAATTTATAAGATATGATGTTGAAGTACACTGTTGATACCTGTAGGTTTGTCATCCATACAATGTTAAAAGACTCGTGACAATTTGGTTTGGCCATTGTTATTGCACTAATTTCTTGAACATATCTCACAATAGTTCTTTAGCATATGATATGAATATGTTACGATTTTCTTGTAAGAGAACTTCTTGTCCTATTCACCGAAAAAAAAACTTCTTGTCCTCACCTTATTCCTTCATTTTCTTTATCAATAAATACTCTTTTTGTTGTTAATCTATATATATATGAACATGTTATGCTTTTTACTATTTGGCTTAAAGATTTCATAAACTTAGCAGCAACTAAGTGATTCAAGTTGAGATGGATGAAAGTGTTTTTTCATAGGTAGTTTAAGAAATCTCCAATTAAATGGGCAGATAAGGTGCTGTTCGATGAAACTTGTTGTACGACGTACGCAATCACATTTTCTAGTCGTATGGTTCTAATCATGTAATATAACTTTATAGGGCTCATCTCACATGCTTGAGCACATTATTAATAAAATACATACATCAAAAAGCTTTCATGTCTTCGAGATTGCTTTTTTTTATCAAAACCTCCATAGATTCCCTTTACTAAGTCATTGCCAGCGCCAAGGGCGAGTCAAAAAAATCTGGTAGTTTCCACTCTCTTTCTTGTTCATCAATCAGAAATCAAGACAAACCGGGCACTAAGGGAGGGGGGAGAAAAATTGTTTAATGAGAAAATTCATTCATTTCCATTATTTCACAAAATGAAAAACAGGAGGTTTGAGTACGAAAAATTCCCCCACATCAAAGCCAATCCAAAATCTTTCAGACCCCTTAGTATTGACAAAAAATCCTTTTAGACTCAATCAACCAACAATACAATCAAGTTACTGTTCTAAGCAGTTGGGCCGTATTTCTCTCAATAGAACTTCTAATAGGCAACTCCAACATTCATGGGCAACAACTTTATTAGTCTCTACCCAAGTACAAATAGTTTTCATTCTCTGCTCAGTTAATGCAATAAATAAAGAGGAATAAAAATTGTCCAATTTAATTTAATTCACATATGTCAAGTATATCTGGACATGAACTAGTATTTGGTTTTAAAATTTCAATCTCCATCTCGATTACCAGCAAGTCTAAAATACAACAGATGCTATAAAATTCAGGGTGCGAACTATCTCCCGAAAGAAATACATACCCATTGTTGTTTACTTCAATCCAACTACACCCAGGTTGCTTCTTCACTCCCATCTCTTTCATTCGAACCCATATCTTCTCAGCATCTTTTTTCCTCCCACTATCGAGATACATTTCAGCCAAAATCATATAGACACCAGAATTAAAAGGCTCTAACTCCATTACCCTTTTCCCTGCAATCTCACCTACCTCAATATTATTGTGAATTCTACATGCTCCGAGCAATGCCCCCCAAACACTTGCTGAAACCTCAATTCCATCGTCTCTCATTTGATCCAAAAATTTTACTGCCTCGTCTATATGCCCATATCTACCCAGAAGATCAACGATGCAAGTGTAATGCTCAGTCATTGGCTGAAGAAAACTCTTATATTTCATGAAGTTGAAGTAGTACTTACCTTGTTCTACCAATCCTGAATGGCTACAAGCAGAAAGAACTCCAATAAAGGTTATTTGATTGGGTTTAATGTCTGTCAATCTCATTTGGTTGAACATTTTTAGGGCTTCCTCTCCATGTCCATGGTGAGCGAAACCACATATTATAGAATTCCAAGAAATGACATCATGACTGGGCATGGAAGAGAACTCCATCAAGGCAGAATTCATGTTTCCACATCTAGCATACATAGTAACCATTGCATTACAAACTGCATTAAAAGAATTAAAACTCATCTTAATGATTTGTGCATGAGTCTGTTTGCCAAGATTCAAGGTTGGCAAGCTTGAACATATTGTCAGCACACTAGTAAATGTAGCTTCATCCATAGGAAAACTTAGTTTTTTCATTCTCATGAACAATTTCAAGCCATCCTCGCCATGATCTTTTTCACCTAATCCAAATATTGTAGCATTCCACACTGTTGTATCCCAAATAGGCATCAACTGAAAAAGTTCAATTGCAGTCTGAACCTCACCAATATGAAAATACCCAATAATCATATTTGTCGTGGACACAACATCACCAAATGGGTGTTTCTCAAGAACTGCATGAGCTTCTTTCACAAGCCCATTCTTTATTAATCCCATCAAGATTGAATTCAACGATCTTTGGCATTTCTGTGGCATTTCACTAAAAAGCCTTATTGCATCACTAAACCGCTGACCATTCACCAACCCTGTTATCATCCCATTCCAAGAATTCCAGTCTTGCTCAGGCATTTTGTGAAATAGAACTTCCGCAATTTCAAGATACCCTTTATCTATATAACCAGATATTATTGTATTCCAAGCTTGAACATCCCTTATAGGCATGCCATCAAAAATTTCCCGCGCTTCAAAAATCCGTCCTGCACTCACAAACCCAGACATCATTACAGTCCAAGACACAACATCCCGATTACCCATTTCTTTAAACAATTCTTCAGCCAAATCGAATTCTCCACAATTCAATAAACCCGTGATCATCAAGTTCCAAGAAATCACATTTCTCAAAGGCATCCTATCAAACACCCAAACAGCTTCATCTACCAACCCATTACAAACATACCCTGAAATCATAGAATTCCAAGTCACAACATCATTGAATGGCATAGAATAAAAAACTTCCCTTGCGCCATTCACATCACCAAATTGCATTAAACCCGCAATCACTATGTTATACGAATAGATATCCCGATTGTCCATCTGGTTATATAAATGCATTGCTTGGTTGAATTGCCCGTTTTGGAAGTACCCGCGAATCATGGCATTCCATGTGACAGTATTTCTTTGCGGCATTTCGTCGAATAGGTTTTGGGCTTCCTCGACGAGGCCATTTCTCATGAAATTTGAAATCTTGGAGTTGAGAGGCTTCAGATTAAGAGATGTGTTGGCGGTATAGTTCTTTTTTGATAGTCTTGCGTAAAGGGTTTTGGAGAGATTGTGTGACGGAATGAGACGAAAGGTAAACAACATACTACTCCATTTGGTCTAACTACCAAACTCGAAGTTCCTGGTGAAAATATTACACACAAACAGTTAAAAACAGTTTTGAATATAGTTGAATGGGCTTTTGACTTCTTCTTCTTCTTTTTCAAATTCAAAATTTAAAGAATAGTTTCATTAAATTTAACATATGTTTTATTTTTGTTTTGTCTGCTAGTTGAGTTAATCTAGTAAAAAAATAGAATAATAATATATAATTTTTGTAAATTAATAAAATAAAATAAAGTTAAAATAAAAAAAATTATGAATAATTTCATTCAATAGAGATTAGTTTTATTAAATTTAATTTGTAATTTTTTTATACATTGGATATTTTTAGCTAATTGCCAAAATTTTGACATGATAAGTTTATACGAGGTAAACTGGATACAAATTTAAAATGACATAATAAGATAACGCAAAATAATAATAGTTTGGATTAGTACTAAGTAATTTTGATACGAATCCAAAATAACATAACATGAACATGACTCAACACGACACAATGTCCACCCCTTACCGTTATTCAAGTTGGATAAATGTTCGTCTCATTAAAAATTTGTAATCAAATTATTTAAATTTGACTCATTTTTTTTAAAAAAAATTTGCTCGAGTTGTCTTGTTATATAAACAATTGAAACTTGAATAGTTTTAAAACTTTTTTTTTTTCTTAATTTCACTCAATAAGCTTATATATATTATAAAAAAAATTAAATTATTCGAGTTCAACTTAATTATGAGGCTATTTGGAAAGTAAAATTTTAGTTTAATTTAGGCTAAAATTCACAAAATGACAAAATAGTCAATAAGACAAAATGTCACATCAAACTCATAATTATTTCACTTTTTTTTCACAAATATCACATCCAATTACAAAAAAAATTCAATCATCTTTCCAAATACAAAAATTTTTAGCTTACTAGCCAAAAATTAAAATAACCTACTAAAATAGTAACTTCTCAAACACTTACTATAGCTAATTTGAGATCAGGTCATAAAAAATAATTAAAAAAAAAAAGGCAAAACTTAACTTAGACACATTTTTGAAGTTAGTTACATATTTTAAATTAAATTTAGGCAACTTACTATTTAGCTTGACATAGTTCAACCTACAATTGCTTCCATGGTGTTTATCATTATTACTATTATTATTATTAATGTGTGTATATATGTACTAGGGGTGATCGTGGATCAGGTTGGATCAAGTGATATCCCATCCGTCATCCGCCTAAAATTAATCAGATTAGAAAAAAATCAATTCACATTCGTCTCCCGGTTTGGTGAATGCGGATTGAGCTGGTCGTGCAGGTTGGCACATGGATGCGATCGGTTTTTGGGCATTTTTTTTTGAATTATAATTCATAACTTTTACAATCTCCAATAACTAATAATTTGAAACAATGTGTATTATTTGTCTATAACAGGCCGTGGCACCACGCTTTTTTTTATTAAGGCATTATTTTCATTTTCACAAAAATATATGTTATACTATTTCTATTCTTTGTTGTTACTTGCTAGCAGTTTCTTTTTTTTTTTTTTAACTTCATCTAGGGCGGATTGTGTTTATGCGGGTGCAGGATGATTGATCCGCCATCCGAATCATATCTGCAAATTTTGAAATATTTCATTTGTATCAGTTTGCCGAAAAACACGCATGCACCCAAAATCAATCGAGTTGGATCAGTTTGGTCGGGTTGGGCAAGTTGAACGGATCTATGATCACCCCTAATATGTACATGCATGCTTGTCTATATGGTGAAAATATTTTGAAAAATAATATACAAGCCAACTTTCTAGATCCAATAATGTGTAAGTGATTATGATTGGTTGATGATTAGAGAAAATATGAGAGAGAGTGTTGTTTTTAATATCTTAATTGATTATTACATCATTATGTTTGAAAATTGGATCTAATTTTTTATCTTAAATAACAATGTTCAAATATTTTATTCTATATACATGTGTGCGCTTTTTTATACGGTAAAAATCCTTTATTCAAATTTTGGGCCTTTTGGTATTGAGGTTCTAGTTTTGTCCCTATTAGAAAGGTCAAAAAGGGTTGGAGATAGCACTGGTGATAGCATAGAAAGGGCTGGTGGCGGAGAAAAGGGCTTAGGAAGGGATTGAGGAGGATGGTGGACATTGGTGGCGACTAGGAGGGATGGGAGAAAAGTGGCTAGCGGTTAGGAAAGGTGATGAACAGGTAGTTGTCGATTGGAGAATGTGAAGAGAAGAAGCGAGGAGAGTTGAGGTAGACCATTAGTCCAGTTAAACTGTCACCTAAGACCTACAAGAAATTTTAAATTTAATATTGAAGGTCTCAACTTTTTAAGACTTAATTAGATAATGTCTTATTTTGATATTTAGGCCTGGTTTGGCATACTAAAAAAAATTCAAAAAGTTACTAAAAATGTTAAAAAGTTATCACTATTCACAAATTAAAAATATAAAAAAATTAATTTTCATAATATTTTAATACAAACAACGACTGGACAACGTTGGTACTGATTGATGGTTCAGTGCTTATTGGCCTATTCAAATGAACCAAAAAAAAAATAAATGTATATATTTATTAAGTTAGGGGGTAATGTTGGGCCCGTAGAGGCCCACCATGGGTCCGTTTTTGATAATCCAAACCGTTCAATGTATAGAACCCATCGAGCACTATATGTCTATAAAAAATTACGTTAATTGGATATGGATAGCTATGTGATCGAATCAGATTTTTTTTCAGCTGTTTATTTTTCACCATCCATTAATTTCATACAAAACTGTTTTGATCACATAGCTATCGATATCCGATTAAAGTGATTTTCATAGGTATATAGTATTCAACAAGTTCTACACATTTAACGGTTCAGATTATCGAAACGAGAGCCTTGGTGGGCCCCACGGCCGAGCAGTACCTGTTCATCGAGCATTATATATCTATAAAAAATCACGTTGATTGGATACGGATAGCTATGTGATCGAATCAGATTTTTTTTCAGCTGTTTATTTTTCACCATCCATTAATTTCATACAAAACTGTTTTGATCACATAGCTATCGATATCCGATTAAAGTGATTTTCATTAGCATATAGCACTCAACGAGTTCTACACATTCAACGGTTCAGATTATCGAAATGAGACCCTTGGTGGGCCCCACGGCCGAACATTACCCATGAAGCCTCATGCACCTTTCAACCCAGCCGTACTCTCCTCTGCTGCCTGTCATTGATGATTCTATTATGTAGGGGTAAACATGTAATTTTGCCATTTTATACAATATTTTAATACATATTTTTTTATAAAAAGACAAAAAGTTATCCCAAATAACTATATTTTTCTCCTCAACTTTTTAGTTCAAAAAGTTAAAAAGTGTATTTATTTAGAACATTCCAAATAATCCCTAATTTAAGATTTCCAATAACCTTGGGTCACTATTGGAGGAGAGAAAGAGGAGGAGAAAAAAAAAAGACTAGTGTAAAAATTGAGAGAGAAATTAATGTAATTTTAACTATGTTTTTGTAATTTATTTTTAAAATTTCCATGTCATATGTAATTATTTTACCCATAAAGGATGTTAGTTTTGTTGCATTTTTTTTTTTTTTTGGGCACGCGCAAATATTCCTTTTATTTCTTTGTATGTTTATGCAATGCTCCCTAAACTCAAAGTCAAATTCTAAGTGCACGATGATAATGGATCGGGTTTATTGGGTTTGGCGTGTAAATTATTATTTTTTTAAATTCAATTATTTTAATAATATAATTTTATATTTTATTATAAATTTGATAATTGTGACCTCTCCACTAATATATGTTACCCTGCACAATTAATACTCTCTAAAATTATTTGTATTAAAATCAAATTGAAACAAATAAAATCGGGTCAAATAATTTTGCCATCTCTACCTATATTTATGCATGTAGAAAAATTATGTTAAATATACTTCCAAGAAAGTGAATAGTATATGGATTTTCATTTCAATAGTTTGATTTAAAAAGCATAATATGTGTCATTAATCACAGTGATTTATTTCGGATAACAATCAAAGTAATTAAAGTTACTATGATATTGTGTAACTAACTTTATTTTAGGACATACCAACCAATCACATAATCACTACAAGAAAATCTGTTATATAACATGGAGGCTTTTGCAACGGGGCATCTGCCGTCGCAAAAAATGAGTTTTTGCGACGCAGTGTAGTTACCGTCGCCAAAAAAGTATTTTTGCGACGGCGTTTATCTACCGTCGACGAAAATGGCCTTTTGCGACGGGATTTACCTCCGTCGCTAATAAATTTCACCGAAAAATGCAGGAGCATTTGCGACGCACGTATACCATCGCAAAAAGTATTATTTAGCGACGGTAAAGAGTTCCGGTTGCAAATGGTGGACCATTTGTGACGGCATAAGCCCGTCGCAAAAAAAAAATTTGTAAAACGACGTCGTTTTAATTTGTTAATCAAGTATCATTTATCATTTGCGACGGTGGTATATATTCCGTCGCAAAAAAAAAAAAAAAAAAAATCACATCCCATTTTTTTCT